CTTTCTTATATCGATTTCATGTGATGTCTCTCATTTGTAAGTCGCTTTCAATAAAAGCATCTGCTAAATGACTAAATGCAATTTCTGTTCCTAAAGCTACCAAATCAAAGCCTGTATATCCATCCCAACTTTATCTTATATGCTTTGCCTTGAAATTTCAAAAACTGTTAATGAGACATTTCACCCAAATATCAACGTTGGTTTTTTTTTTCGTCTTAGCTAACATCTCTCCCACCGAGAGGTCTCATAGCAGACTATTTGCGTGTATGCCTGAGGTTTCCTTTCCCCCAAAATATCCCAGAAAACACTCTCACTTGTACTTCAAATCAATATGAGAATAAATATTGGCAGAAATGTCATTTTAGTGTACTAGGGGATTTCTTTTCTTTCTTTTATCCTCACTAATCTGATCGTTTTGACAAAGATGTATCATGTTGACTTGACCAGAAATGGGGCTTAACTGCTTTTACAGTGCTTTTGCTGATTTTCCACATACAAACAAATGTGGAAAATATACAGTTTTATGACAGATAGAAGGGAAGGAATAGCATAGCACACTTAGCATAGTATAGCGATGTTTAGGTATCAATATTATTTAACACTGACAGTCAGAGATTGCAGCAGATGAATGGACGGCCTAAAGTGTCGCACACACAAATGTCTTTCCATGTTTTGTCTGGCTTATTCAGATGTAAATTTCCTTCCTTTCTCTGGGGGGGTGTGGGAGGTTGTGGGGGCCGGACTGAAAAATCTAGCCCAAATTGAAATGTCAATAATAATTTTTGGCATACTGGAACCTTTAAGAGTCAAGGGCTCCTTCCCTAGTGAAGAGAGAGAGAGAGCGGTCGTCCTCTGGGAGTTGATGTCTTCTTGACAGACATGCTGAAATACCAGGGAATACTACCTTCTTTAATGGATTGATGAATGAGCTTTACTGCCCTTCTCCACACATGCATGTCTGGAAAGCGGTGAATGCTGATGGTATACATTCATTCATTTAACATTCTGCTGGATATGTTTCTTATTAGGAGTATTCGGGGTTAGGGTTAGAACAAAGCCCCATCCTGAAGTATCACAGTTTAGCATATAACTCATCCTACACCAAATGTGCTGCAGACGTGAATGATGCTTTGAATTGTTGAGAAGATGTGTACTGTTACTTTTCAACTCGATGTGACTTATAATAATAATGGGAAGAAATCTCATATACTTACATTGAAGGAGTCTCATAAAAACCAGGATATCTTTTCAATTTTTAACTGGGGCCAGTAACATTGCCAAATAAATATGTATACGAAAAAAAAACATTTTTAGTTGAAATGAATCCATGTTTTGTCTGGCTTATTCAGATGTAAATTTCCTTCCTTTCTCTGGGGGGGTGTGGGAGGTTGTGGGGGCCGGACTGAAAAATCTAGCCCAAATTGAAATGTCAATAATAATTTTTGGCATACTGGAACCTTTAAGAGTCAAGGGCTCCTTCCCTAGTGAAGAGAGAGAGAGAGCGGTCGTCCTCTGGGAGTTGATGTCTTCTTGACAGACATGCTGAAATACCAGGGAATACTACCTTCTTTAATGGATTGATGAATGAGCTTTACTGCCCTTCTCCACACATGCATGTCTGGATAGCGGTGAATGCTGATGGTATACATTCATTCATTTAACATTCTGCTGGATATGTTTCTTATTAGGAGTATTCGGGGTTAGGGTTAGAACAAAGCCCTATCCTGAAGTATCACAGTTTAGCATATAACTCATCCTACACCAAATGTGCTGCAGACGTGAATGATGCTTTGAATTGTTGAGAAGATGTGTACTGTTACTTTTCAACTCGATGTGACTTATAATAATAATGGGAAGAAATCTCATATACTTACATTGAAGGAGTCTCATAAAAACCAGGATATCTTTTCAATTTTTAACTGGGGCCAGTAACATTGCCAAATAAATATGTATACGAAAAAAAAACATTTTTAGTTGAAATGAATTAATAATTTTGCCTGTTTATTTTTCAATGATCAACTATATATTTTTTGTAAAGTTTCCATTAGAAAAAATAGTCAATTATTAAATAAAAATTTAATTATGTCCAATTAGTTTTTATTATATAGTAAGCAAGGATATTTGTGTTTTGTGTATATACTTTTTGTGTGTAGTGTACTTGTATAAATATTAAGTAATAGTTGATGGAGACCTGACAAATGCACTGTAAAAAAAAAATATATATATATTTTTTTTTTTTTAGGTTTCACTGTGCAGTGTATAAAAGAAAGAAGCAAATCTCATTTTTACATTTCTTATGAATATTTATTAGAATTCTTGTTGCATTTATTTATTTTTATTTTATTTTATTTTTTTTTATTACAATATCTCAGGCAGAAGCATGTTTACTTTCTATATGATTTTTTCACCCTGTAAATTCAGTATGGATTTGTTTGATCTTGAGGTGATCTTGACTCCCCGTGTGTAAATATGATAATCAGTTTATCTTATGTTGTGTTAATGAGTGGGGGAATCATTCGAAACAACTGCATTTATTTAACCAAACAACAACAAAAAAAAGCTTTTGAACTTGAGAAGAACTTGGTGGAAGGAAAATCACTTGAAACCTTATTGCAGCTTTGGGAGGCCTTGACATTCTTTATTTTCAAGTCCATAGCAAATAGCCTTCAAATATTGATTTTGATGTCTGGGCAAATTGCCCAGAGTTATGTGTGTCCCCTTTTATCAAACCAGCACAGCCCACACAAAACTCCATTCCACATAAAATGTATCACCGGGCTGATTATGGTGAAGTATGAATGAAGAGGGATGATACATAAGTCATAGAGGATACAGATGCACACAAACACTAAGCCGAGATGGATCGTTTCGTGTGCATGCGCGTATATCTGTTTGTTCATTGGTTTGTTTGTTTACATGAGCCTGGCATGAAACTCTAGATGGCGCAGTCCGATATGTCTAACTCAGTCTGACCTAATGACATCATTATCACATGGCACAGCTTATTGGTTCTCTCCTGTAATGGTAGCCAATTAACTCACTGCTCAACATTCAAATATATGACTAGAGCTTGCCGTGCAGTTGCAGCTTGTTTCAGAAACCCTCCACCTTCCCCAGCTCCACCTGTATAGATCTGCTACGATGTATTCATGTATGCTGGGGGTTATTTCATCTATATGTTATATTTGCAGCAGCAATATTTCTTATATGATTACAGCAGCATGTTTTGGCAGTAGCAAGTCTCGGTACTTGCTCTGCCGCAGCAGCGTAGCAGATCTATTCCGCCAAGACCAAATACATTAACATTGTCATGTACATTACCATGCCAATCCCTCCGAGAGTTGTCATGACAGAAATATATATAACTCAAGCTCTTGATTTTCACTTGCATTCATTCAGTTTGAAATCTATCAACAAAGAGTAATACTTGGTGTCCAATGTTTATTTTAGCATGTTTGCACCTTCACAAATTAATATCAAGTATATTAATAAGCACAACATATTTTGTAATCTTAAAGTGAAATGTGTGATGGAATATAGGAAGTTCAAAGTGTGGTGGCCCCCCATTTTTTAGCTCATTAGTTCATGATATCCGCTGTGTGACATGCTCATGTAAGAGCCCTAAACACACATGAGACAGATGGAGACAAAAGCTCAGCATCATGCCTGCAGACATCTTTAACCCCTCTGTACTGCCATTACATACTAATGAGATTGAATGAATTGTGCTGGTTTTGTGAGGATTGGAAGAGCGTGAGGATGAGCAATATGTCTGCAGATAGATAGATTGATAGATTGATAGATTGATAGATTGATTGATTTGTACTTTAGGTAAGTGTGTGATTGTGTAATATCTCTGTCTCTGGTTCAGGTCCAGTCGAGTCTGGTTTGGAGACAGTAATTCACAGGAGTGTGAAGTGATGGATCTCTTCAGGCTTTGATTGATCTGTGGCAACATGATCAATAGTTCTGTACTGGCAACAACATCATGTGAGGGGTTTTTCCTGGCTGAGGAGCTTCCATTAGTAACTTACAGGATATGCTGCCATCTGGTGATCACTATACACTACACAAGGAATTAAACTACCTCTCATAACATCCACATGGGTAGCTAGCCATTCAAAAATAGTAAGCACTTCAAAATTGTACTTCAAACTCCCTGTGGGTTATATGATCTCAAAAAAGGTCAATTATTTAATGAAAGATCAGCTGATGATAATTGTTTCTCAAGACCTTAATTGTACTTTTAAAAAGGTGCTGTGGTTTAATATAGGTTTGATGGGCTAAAGAAGCCAACAAAGGCATTCTGCCACACCACATTGCTATGCTTTTTAAACTGGATTCATTCATCGTAAGATAATACTAAAAATCTTACATTTTCATTTTTTTTCCCCCTGTAACAATGCAAATGCAAATGCAAATGTAAATGCACTATGTAAAATGTAGGCAAATAAAAGTGTCTCTGTAGGTACGTTTATACTTTGGGGACATATAGGCTACACATTTAGAAAAATGATTCATAAAAAAGTAAAACTGTACTTATGTTCATTATATATAAAAATATAACAAGTTTTCTAGTAGTAGCCTAGTGTTAGGGTTTGTGTAGACAGAACCTCAATTCATGTCCAATAAGCATTGTATTGCCACATGTTCAAAAACGGTATGTATAATATCATGTTCTAAAATAGTAGGCTATTACCATTTTTTGTTAGCTCTGCAGAAACCTGGAATAGTGCGATTAGATTTATTATTTTAATAGATGCCTGAAAACAATTTAAAGACAACCTCATTCACTTGCTTTGGTTTTCACAATGTTTCACAAACTGAACCGGAACAGCATGTTTAACTGGTATTTGACATACCCAGAGCGTAAAACTTAATGTAATGATAATCTGCATTTCTGACAAAGGAAATGCGCTCGCTCTTGTATGAAAGGAAATGCAAAGAAGGTAAACCAATGCAACGTCACTGAGACAAAGCGGCCAATCAGAGCGCAGGATTTGTCACTTGTATCCAGGAAGTGGAAGATGCGCCGAACGCACGCCCGACTTCAGTTTCTGTCAGCGTAAATTCTTCATGATCACTCACGGATAACCTCGCACAGAAGTGATGGACTGGTCAGAAGGAGACGGAGTAAGTGAAAAAACGTTTTATATTCTCTTCGGTTTCGTCGTTAAACGGATTGATAAAACCGGTTAAGCTAACTTAGCATCTGTTGCTAACTGGTCACCTGTGTGTACGTGCTGATCGATCAACTATTCAAGTCGCACTGTACATTTTATACATATAATTATTACATCAGACCTGGTAAACAAGCACTGCCATGATCATTGCCTGTAATTAGCTATTGTTGACCATAAATATGGGCTAAATAATAAATATTGAACATGGTTATGGGTCCGCTGCAGTTTTCAGATAATTGGAAGGTTAAATTGCCAAATTTAAAGGGGTCACATGATGCGATTTCAAGTTCTCCTTTCTCTTTGGAGTGTTACAAGCTGATTGTGCATAGATAAGATCCCTGAAGTTGCAAAGACTAAAGTCTCAAAACCAAAGAGATATTCTTTATCAAAGTTAAGACTCTGCCACACATTATTTTTCAAATAAAGCATGTCAACATATTCTGTTACACCAAATACACAAAATAATGATCTTTAAAAAAGCATCATATGACCCCTTTAAAGTTCAAACCATCACTAGAAGGAAGCAAACCAGTTGTTTACTAATAACATGTAGTAAACATGTTTTAACTGAACCAAATTTCTGTCTTTTATTTAAATGTGCGCTCCTTTTATTTAAAAATTAAAAATTTGACAGACCCCAGACCTGTCAGTCTATTAGAAAAATCTGTTTTGTATTATTTTATCGTGGGCACTGCCATGTTGACATCACATGATCAGCCTTGGCATGCACTTGTTCCTCGTTACTACAACTACTACTTATATGAATAGTAGTAATAAGTTTGTGCTTTTTGTCAGTGGATGTGTGTAGTTTGAAAAAACTAATTCAATTTGTTAATTATCGCACATTTGGTGTTAACTATAAAAAAAACTGTCAGAAAATAACCCATGTTTGTAATATTTTTACAGTGCCACTCCCACGGTCACATGGGTGACAGTTGCCATGGACACGGCGGTGGCCACTCCCACAGCCACGGTCATGGAGGACCTGGATTTGGCGGTTTCATGCCCGGCGGCTTCCACGGCCAGCTGGTCCCGGGACCTTTTGATCCAACGCAGCAGCCGAGGAAGGTCTCACACCCGGAGGACAGCAGTTCCTGGGATATCATCAAAGCAACACAGTGAGACTTATTCCCTTGACATCCCCCCAAATAAATAAAATCCTATTAAAACGTATTTTTAGGATCATGTATATGATCAATTTTGCCAGTTTTGTAACAATATTTGCTTGACAATTAAACGCATTCCCCTTCATTACAAAAAGATAATTATTGTATACTTATTTAATTGGCCAAAAACATCTCGGTATTTTTGAAATGTAAGTTCATTGAGGAAAACACCACATCTCAAACGCATTACTAGGGATGGGTATCGTTAAGGTTTTAACGGTATTACTACTCTTACCGATACTGCTCGTGATCTCGCTTCTGAATTTCGAATAGCAAAAATGCATCATAAACAAATGTTTGAACAACAGCTGGCGACTGGTGAGATAGAATTAGCAAGATAATATATACAGTATATAGCAATAATAAATGTATGTGTCTTTTATTAATTTCTCCAGTACCGATAGCAGAACCGTTAACGTCAGAGCTTATCGATACTCCGGTCTTTCATAATTTAGCCCGTAGGGTTGGGCCGATAGACGATGCCATCGTCCATCACCGATGGCTGACGGACTTCATGATGTTGAGCCGGCATCGTGATCCACCCGCAATCCGCCGCATCCCAATTCCATGTTCGGAAAGGAAATTAAGTGTACTACGAAACCCCAAAAGGGAATAAATAGCCTATGAGATGGGAGGATAAAAAAAAAAATTCAATACTTTCTCTTGCAATTATATCGTTGGGTCATTAAATTGCATCCATCAGGGAGCCGCTACTAATATGCAGGGCATTGAAACCGCTTTCGAATGTGCGCTCTCATTTTACTTTCACTTTCACTTTCGAGATTCGCGATCACACGGACTCTATACTACGGAGCGGCAGTGCCTACCACACATTTTACAAGATACTTGTCAGTGGTGCTCAGTATCTGCAAATCATTTGCCATTGTCCTATCAGTCATCTCTCCTTACTCTGTGTATGTGGTAAGTGAATTTCATGTACTGTAATGTAACAGTCTACCGCTAGCAAGCGGCTAACCATGTCCCTTTAGTGGCTCCGTAGAACGAGTTATTTGTTTTCCGTGCCTTTCTGCAAACGGATTCACACTTTGGGCAGACCCCCTAACCCTGCCCCCGATGTCATCGTCCATCACGATGTTTCACTGTAGACATCGTCCGATGCCAATTTGCAAGACATCGCCCAACCCTAGTTTACCCAACCCTAGTTTTTGTTTTGTATTGCGATAATGATTATTGGGGGAGAAATGTGCTTAATTGACGATGTTAAAAAAATCTTAACGGTCCTAAAAGTGTTATTGAGAGTCTTTGTGAAATTCCGCCTTAAAAACTTTAGTGATATTTCAGGCATTCAGTAAATATCACACATATGTTCTTGATCTTACTCTGAGATCTAGCTGTTCAGTAGTGAGTAGAAAGATTTGTGTAAACCGATCATTCATCTTCCCGTTGTAGAGAATCAGACAAACCGTAAGTGATGGAGAATACAAATACAGGATACTGTTGTGCTGTTATTTATCTGGGTTTCTATTGAACGGCGTTCATATCTGTTGTCTCACCTGCATGCTTCACACTGCTCAAATAGTTCATTTCCATTCGACGATGCAGATCTTCTTATCACTTGTTCATGCAGAAAACCTGCAGTGTATGTGGGTATACATGTTCATTCAAGTCAATTCTGATGCAAAAAAAACAGCATCTTCCCCTTGATTGTTTTAAATTGTAGGTTTGGTGCTCTTGAGAGGTGTAAAGAGCTTATTGAGGCTGGTTATGACGTCAGGCAGCCTGACAAAGAGAATGTTACACTGCTCCATTGGGCCGCCATCAATAATCGAGCCGATATTGTCAAGTAAGATTTGTCTCTTTGTATGTTTCATGGCGTTATTCCATTTCATGGAATTTTCAAGATTTTTAAACGTTTTTGAAATAATCTCTAATGCTCACCAAGGCTGCATTTATTTGATCAGAAATCCCGGAAAAACAGTAAAAATTGTGAAATATTAAAACAATTTAAAATCGCTGTTTTCTATTTGAATATATTTTAATATGTAATTTATTCCTGTGATGCAAAGCTGAATTTTCAACATCATTACTCCAATCTTCAGTGTCACACGTTTTTTCAAAAAGCATTTGAATTTGCTGGTTTTGTGCACAATTATAAGTGCTCAATTGATAATGGTTCTTATTATTATCAATATTGAAAACCGTTTTTTGCTGCATAATATTTTTTGTGGTACACCCGTGATAAATTTTTTTCAGGATTCTTGGATGAATAAAAAGTTCATTTAACAGCATTTATTTGAAATAGAATTTTGTTTGTAAGATTATAAATGTCTTTACTGTCGCTTTTTGATCAATTTGTTTGTCATCACATGAATAAATTACATTTGAAAATATATACAAATAGAAAGCAGTTATTTTAAACTGTAATAATATTTCACAATATTACTGTTTTTACTGATCAAATAAATGCAGCCTTGGTGAGCATAAGAGATTATTTCAAAACACTTAAATAATTTCACTTATTCAACCTATTCTTATTTGTATCTGTGTATGTTCTGCTGTGTTTCATAGATACTACATATCTAAAGGTGCCGTCATAGACCAACTAGGCGGCGACCTGAATTCAACACCACTCCACTGGGCCATACGGTACGTTTCAGATACATACAGCAATACATTTGCAGTTATATGAGATGGAACATAAGTGTGATTTTGAAGAACTGACATCCGCATTCATACATGCACTAAAATCACCAAAACGCAGTTAAAAGTCAATGCAAAAATATTGGTTCTAGCAGCATTTGCTTACAAGTGCCGCTTGACCGTGGTTTATATCTGCTGATGTTGTTCCTGGTCACCTCTGAACAGACAGGGTCATTTGTCTATGGTCATTCAGCTGATGCGATATGGAGCCGATCCGTCATTAGCAGATAGTGAAGGGTATCGGGGTCTCCATCTGGCTCTGCTCTTCCAGCATATGCCCATTGCTGCATACCTTATGGCCAAAGGACAGGTGTGACACAAACACACACAGTGACATTTTAAATAACGGTGGAGGGTTTGAATACTGAGTAATGCAGCTGAATACTCTTCTTGTTCCTGTGTTGTTGTAGGAAGTGGATTCGCCGGACATAAATGGACAGACTCCACTGATGTTGGCAGCACAAAAAATCATCGGGTAAGATCGACTCAGTCAGGGTCTGAAATTAAGTTTTTACTAGAACTGCCAAATTATGATTCAACCAACCATGACAACTGTGCTTTATATTAAACATCTGTACAGATGATTTATAATAATGTTACAAATGATTTCTGTTTCAAGTAAAAATGAACTGAAAATGTTTCTCTTCGGGTTTATGCATCTAACATTATCAGTGGGTAGAAAAAAGATGCAATTGATACAAATGTCACTTCCTGGGTTAAAACCGATACCAAGCCATTCACACAGAACGCATATTCGGTGCATTTTCTAGACGGACAAATACGACTGCTGCACTCGCGTCTCACACAAGAGATGTAGCCATGCAAAGTTAAAACAGTTTAAACTTTTAGAAAACACGTCGCAAATTTGTGGAGGTTTATTCCTTTTCACTGCGTCTCATATGTTTTAAAGGCGATCTGTGTGAATGGCGATTCGGCTCTTTGTATTAAGCAATGCATAAATACGTGATGCTGTTTTCATAATTGTTTATGCAAATTATATTTGATTTATATGAGTATTATATTAAACGTAATGCACATTTTTATATAGACCGTTACTTCCTTGCGTTGACTATTTAATGTGCTGCATTATTTTGCTCATTGCGCCCTCCTGTGGCCTCGGGAGACAAGCCAAAAGTTTGACCTATTTAATCTGCATATAAAACATTAGAAATTAGATATTTGTTTAATTTTTATTTTGTTTTTGACTGTTAAAACAAAAACAAAAAAATGTGTTGTTTGTCTCAAAGTGAGTTAATTTAAAAATACAGTGGTTAAATGTAAAAAAAAATTATATTGCTCTTTGTTTTAAAAAAGGTTATATAAACTGTCAATAATTATCGATACCGAACTATATGAAACATTGTATCGTTGATACATTTTTTTAGCTGTATCGCCCAGCCCTAAGTCATAGGCTGGCCTTAAAACCTGAGTAGTCTTTCTGAAAGTGCTACCCTTCATTCCACATAAATTTTAAACATCTTATAGTTTGTTATTACATGTCCAGTCACTAATTCTAAAGCCGTAATGATGCAGTTTAAACCAGCAGAACAAAAAAGTAGTGTTTCTCCATAGCTGTAAAACTGGTTCCAAAGCGGTGCTCTTCACTCACCTGGCCGTTCAGTTTGAAAGTTGAGCTTTACCTTGCATTCTTTCTTACTGATGTTTTTGTGTTATGTTCAGGGTCACACTCCCATTGACCTGGCGCACCAGGTGCACAGCCCTCTGCTCATTCACATGCTCAGTGTGGTGAAGACAGAACGAATGAAAGCCAACTCCACGTGTCTCAAACTGCTCAACAGATACAAGGTACACTCATGCTCAGACACACTCAGGCCAACAAGTTCAGCTTCGAAAAAAAGTTTCAATTTGTGATGTAGATTTAATTCACTAAAATCTGGAGTATTATTCAGATTATTCTGGTATTTTGAATTTGAACAAACCTCTAATTTAAACTCATGTTAAATTAGATGCATTTGTGCAATGGATATGACTATATATAATAGTAATAATATAGATTATAATACTTACTATTATTATTATTATTATTATTGGATATGTGGATGTTATATGCTTATAGGATGTTATATGAATATGATCTCTAATAGTAGTAGTAGTAGTATAGTAATAGTAACATTTCTAAAATGTAAACATTAAATTAATAATGTATATTTTATGTACTTAATATTGTGTAATTCATAAAAATATATTTTTATTATTTTAAATGTCTAATGTGATTTTAGTTATTGTTGTCTCAAAAGCAAAATAAATAAATAAATTTCCTAAAGAAAATGGGAAGCATATAGTGAAAAATGGTGTTTCATTGCATATGAATGCCAGTTTTAATGTTTGGATTTGTAACAACTGTTCCAGGCCAGCTCACACACACACCGCTCTCACTAACTTTATTAAAGAAGACGTGAGGCAAGTACTTGAAATCCCAGGGCTGTATTTAACCTTGAATTAAGCTTTCAGAAACAAAAGCAGCCAATTTCTCACATAATGTGTGTTTGGCCCTGGAGAATTCACCATTTTTAGGCTTTTATTAAACAAGAAAATAACATTCCACTTATTC